GCCATTCGAATTACGTTTGTCCTGAAAAAATTAGAACTGTAACTTCTTAGATGACAGAGATATGAAGCATAACGAGTTTATTCATTACGTGTGATCAGGAGATTGGTTTACCTAATCACGTGATTAGGTAAACCGAGGAATTGTCCTCCTGACCAAGGCCGAGGAAAAATCGCTATTCCTCGGTAAAACAGAGGCCAAGGTCGACCCTTGTATTTACATAGCATACTCTAGAGTCTAGATCTATAAAACGAAGTAAGAGTTACCACGTTACTCTTTTATCTCTCCGTTAAGCCTACAACTCCGCTAACTAACAATTGAGTATGAGGTCAATTAATTAATGTCCACAGGTGTGGATTATAGAAATTACATTCAAACATAATTGAACAGCATGAGACAAGCGGAGAACAAACAAACGAATAGATTTCAAGCTCATAACGGATCGTTGCTTGATATTGGAGATTTCAAAACCTTAGTCCGACAGTCTAAGTTCTCTTGTCGAACTTAAGTGAGTGTCGAACTTGAGTCCAGATACAAGATAGAGCACTTTGGTTCGAGTTCGACAGAGTCGAATCTTAGGGTTTGTCGAACTACAGTATAAGTGACGAACTACAGTGCGTGTCGAACTTGAGTACGTGTACCTAATTTACCATGGTTAAAACATCTTCAAACCGTAAAATGTGCAAAAAAAACTACATTTAAAGGATCCTCCAACATTGTCTACAGCGGGCAATATCCTTTATTTCATAATCACTCAATTCTTCGGAAGTATTCATAACCAAATTACGATCTTTAACATCGTCCATCAATAATTTAAGGGAACTTTTGCCGAAACAACCTATACGCCCTTTTAATTTTGACAGGGCAGCTCAGAAGTAAATGGTTCTTTAAGACAAAACATAGATAAATCTAATCCCTTTAAAATATGCGGCTCAGTTACTGGCACGTTCTTACCAAGACAATTTAAATATACCATCTAGCTTATTCATAGAACACATTTCGGAATACTTAGTGGTCTTAACATTCACCCTAGGCAGAACATCTGGGTGATCATGACTATTGTTGAGAATTTTTGAATCTGAGAATTGACCATTTTCGTCGGGAATACTTAAAATTGTCTTTCTCTGCTGGAGGTTGAGGTTCTGCTGTATGTTGAGGATCTGTTGAGGATGGGGATACTTTTATGAAGTAGGGTCTAGGAAACGAGCTGCGGAGCAATATCTGTTCATCCAGCTCGGCCTTCTTCTTGTTAAGGTTAATCAAATTGGTCCTCTGACTGTCTTTTTTGGCTCTATCTTTGGATTTCTTCAGTCTCCTGAAATATATTATGTCACATTAGATTATTCATGATACGTAAAGATTTGTTTAAGCATACCCAAAAGGATTTATTTTATATTAATAGCTCATTAATATAATCCAGCATTGGATCTATTTGAAAAGTAACTTAAAACAACATGCAGAGCGACCAATATCGACTGAATCAATGCTTGGTAGCACAAACCGGAGGTTAGAAATGAATACTTGACCACATGGTCACTTGCAACATATATCACATACCTTGGTTTTACATTTCCTTTTCAATAACTAAATCAGAGTGACCTCCAATCTCCATAGATGATCAAACGCATGGCCCAACATATAATCGAAGAGAATTTTCAAATGATTTTCGGCATTTCAATTCTTGCAGCGGTTGCTGAGTTTCTGAAAAATAAATCATTATAAAACATTATTGGGATTTAATATTGTCTGAAATATTCGAATTTTCGAATGTTGACGACAGACTTCTCGAATGAATAGTTATAAATATTAAACACGTGTGTAACGGGACTTTTGGCCCCCTCTATTATTCCTAGTATATCTATAATATTAGAGCTATTCTGGTGTATCTGAACAACATTAGAGCTACTAAAGTCTGGTGTATCGTAACAATATAAATACTAGTGAAGTATGGTGTATATTAACAATATAAGAACTAGTGACGTCTACGTCTGGTATAACTCCACAATTATAATAGTAGAGCTAATAAAGTCTGGTGTATCTGAACAATATTAGAGCTAGTAAAATGTGGTGTATCTGGTGTATATTATAGAATAGCCATTCTTTATTAGTTAATATAAATTAATTATGAAACTCTAATACCCTGTGGTTAACGTTTTTCAGTTTCAGCCCTTTCGACTTAGTAATTCCTGATAACTAAAAACTACTTTTATCCGTGTTTTAAGCTATTCCAATCATTTTGAGCCTATAAAAAGTTTTTAAATTTTTGCTCATTAGCTTATTGCTTATTATCCAATTAACTGATTATCTTACGTAAAATTGTCTTCCTGATTATATGAACACCCTCGATAAATCTGCAACCTTTAACGATGTTCACAACTAAAGTTATTTGACAAACAAGAAAAGCGGTTAAGTGGCAAAAAGTGGCCTTATATATATACAGGGTGGCCTTAATAGCTCAATCACTGAGTGCCCAATTGAAATAATTCTTTCTGGTATGACTTACTACCACCACTAGTTCGAGGAATTTGTCAAATCGATAAATATTAGAGTTCATTTTTTTCAAATGAAGGTTCATTTTTGCATTAATTTGATATAGTTTTTATATAATAGTTTTGATAGTCGAATCGAGCTAAATTTTATTGAATTGTGTTTGGCCATTCGAATTACGTTTGTCCTGAAAAAATTAGAACTGTAACTTCTTAGATGACAGAGATATGAAGCATAACGAGTTTATTCATTACGTGTGATCAGGAGATTGGTTTACCTAATCACGTGATTAGGTGACCCCGTTAACCACCCCGTTAAACATTATGGGAATTGTTAAGGGTGCCCAATTAAGGTGTCGTGTCACGGTGTCACATAATCACCCAGTCAATATTGTTAACAAGATACAGAAAATGCTTGATAACTTGGTCATTTCTAATCCGTTTTGCCTCATGTTTTCGGATCATATGCAACATTTAATAATCTACCGTCTCTGAAAAAATAGGCGTTCAGCATGTTCAGAGAAAACAATATAGGTGTTTTAATATTGAATGGGCGTGGTCTAAAATATTCGAATTTTCAAATTTTGACGACGAAATCCTCGAACCAGTAAGTACAGTATGCCATCTGCAAAGCAACAGCTCTAAAATATAAAACACAGCGGAGCTATTAAGGCCAACGTATGCCCACTGACTTTTGGCCCACCCTATATATTAAGACACAAATCTTTTGTAAGCTTTGTGTGTCGGCAGATCGATTTTATCAGACGGATCTGTCTGTACAACTCGACAATTCACGCAAATCTCGAAGTTCCGGTGATGCACACTCAAATTTTGGCAGAAATGCTGAAGCAAGTGTGGTTTACATAAAACTCTTAGACACATTTTGGTCTATAATTCGGTGTGTCTCTAATATGATTATTTGCCAATTAATTGTGGGCTGTGGCGTGATCAGAGCCGCGCACACGTGCGAATATACTATCAATGGAAATTGGAATGTACAAATGTGTATGGTGCTGTGCGAAGCAAATTAGAAGGTGTAGCCGCTGTAATCTATAAAAATATTATAAGCTATGATTCCGTTTTATTACAGGATCTGGCATCTGCCGTAAATATCCACTGATTTTATCTGTGACACACACTATAACTATGCAATGTTACCTGTTTCTCTAATAAACTGCCTCTAACAAGGTACACGGCCTTAGGGACTGCGAGTACCTCCTCTAACGGAATTAAATAATTAAAGTAGAAAGTGATCGATGGAGCGGTTTTTTAGAAGTACAGGAGAGTAAACAGCATAAATGTAAACAAATGAAAACATATAATGCTCTTAGTAGTAAATGGCCATTTGTTCTGAGCTGTATGGTTTTTTGACAATCAACTAGCGGGGCAAGGAATTACTGGCTGGTAGCTTTTGTACACACCAGAACGCTAGTCTGGTTGATAGGAAGGCATTATAATTGTGGCCGTAGAAGAGGACTATTTGGCATTTATATTTTACAGGCTAGCTCTAGAATTAAATTAGGAATTAGAATCAAATACACAGATACAATAATCGATAAAAATAATTAAGAAGGCTTCATTGCTGGCAGCATTAAGCATCGAAGAAATTTAGCAGAACACCTTCTAGGACATAAGCTTATTTTGTAAAATGCTTACATTATTAAGACGGAAGTATTTGGGTGTTAAATCAGCTAAATGTCTTATGGCCGGGTTAAATTAGGGAGAAAAAAGATGTTGGGTTATAATTAATCTAAATTGTTTTTTGAAAATTTTAAATTATAATTTGGACACATTTATCAGTACGTTATTAATCTCAAAAAAAAAAGTATTTTCAAGCTTGAGGTTTTCTATGATTTGGGTGTATAGTGTTTTGATTGCTATTTATTGGGTGATGGGAGTGGAGATGATGGGAGTGCCAGCCAACTGTCATATGAACAGCCCACTGTGAGGATGGGTGAGTCGCAGCGCTTAGAACGGTAGGGGTGGCATAAAACGGAACACGGCCACGGACAAAACACGAAACTAAACCTGCGCGTAGCTCGGCCGTGTCTGAAGCTATGTTCCAGAGGTTATCCAAAAGGTGCCTCGTGGAACTGTCTAGGCTACATTCGAATTGCAAGGTCCGAAGCAAATAAACTGATGATTAAGAGGTATGACATGAACGGAAAGTGAAGAAAAAAGGATTAAAAAGGATCCACTGAGTATAGGCATGTCAGGAAGTGATGAAAAGCTCACAGACAATAATCTATTCGTGAAATGTTACCCGTAGTAGACAGGTCATTTCAGGGCATCCAGGATACACTGAACATGCAAGCTGTTACGACCAGGTCCACGCGATACCCGCCTCGGAGGTTGAGAAATGCCCTGACTTCGACCACTTATGGTCTACTGTGGACCTTCATATTATCCTACTTAGAGTACTGTAACATTCACTCAGGCCTCACATACTAATCAGAGTGACCTCCAATCTCCATAGATGATCAAACGCATGGCCCAACATATAATCGAAGAGAATTTTCAAATGATTTTCGGCATTTCAATTCTTGCAGCGGTTGCTGAGTTTCTGAAAAATAAATCATTATAAAACATTATTGGGATTTAATATTGTCTGAAATATTCGAATTTTCGTATGTTGACGACAGACTTCTCGAATGAATAGTTATAAATATTAAACACGTGTGTAACGGGACTTTTGGCCCCCTCTATTATTCCTAGTATATCTATAATATTAGAGCTATTCTGGTGTATCTGAACAACATTAGAGCTACTAAAGTCTGCTGTATAGTAACAATATAAATACTAGTGAAGTATGGTGTATATTAACAATATAAGAACTAGTGACGTCTACGTCTGGTATAACTCCACAATTATAATAGTAGAGCTAATAAAGTCTGGTGTATCTGAACAATATTAGAGCTAGTAAAATGTGGTGTATCTGGTGTATATTATAGAATAGCCATTCTTTATTAGTTAATATAAATTAATTATGAAACTCTAATACCCTGTGGTTAACGTTTTTCAGTTTCAGCCCTTTCGACTTAGTAATTCCTGATAACTAAAAACTACTTTTATCCGTGTTTTAAGCTATTCCAATCATTTTGAGCCTATAAAAAGTTTTTAAATTTTTGCTCATTAGCTTATTGCTTATTATCCAATTAACTGATTATCTTACGTAAAATTGTCTTCCTGATTATATGAACACCCTCGATAAATCTGCAACCTTTAACGATGTTCACAACTAAAGTTATTTGACAAACAAGAAAAGCGGTTAAGTGGCAAAAAGTGGCCTTATATATATACAGGGTGGCCTTAATAGCTCAATCACTGAGTGCCCAATTGAAATAATTCTTTCTGGTATGACTTACTACCACCACTAGTTCGAGGAATTTGTCAAATCGATAAATATTAGAGTTCATTTTTTTCAAATGAAGGTTCATTTTTGCATTAATTTGATATAGTTTTTATATAATAGTTTTGATAGTCGAATCGAGCTAAATTTTATTGAATTGTGTTTGGCCATTCGAATTACGTTTGTCCTGAAAAAATTAGAACTGTAACTTCTTAGATGACAGAGATATGAAGCATAACGAGTTTATTCATTACGTGTGATCAGGAGATTGGTTTACCTAATCACGTGATTAGGTGACCCCGTTAACCACCCCGTTAAACATTATGGGAATTGTTAAGGGTGCCCAATTAAGGTGTCGTGTCACGGTGTCACATAATCACCCAGTCAATATTGTTAACAAGATACAGAAAATGCTTGATAACTTGGTCATTTCTAATCCGTTTTGCCTCATGTTTTCGGATCATATGCAACATTTAATAATCTACCGTCTCTGAAAAAATAGGCGTTCAGCATGTTCAGAGAAAACAATATAGGTGTTTTAATATTGAATGGGCGTGGTCTAAAATATTCGAATTTTCAAATTTTGACGACGAAATCCTCGAACCAGTAAGTACAGTATGCCATCTGCAAAGCAACAGCTCTAAAATATAAAACACAGCGGAGCTATTAAGGCCAACGTATGCCCACTGACTTTTGGCCCACCCTATATATTAAGACACAAATCTTTTGTAAGCTTTGTGTGTCGGCAGATCGATTTTATCAGACGGATCTGTCTGTACAACTCGACAATTCACGCAAATCTCGAAGTTCCGGTGATGCACACTCAAATTTTGGCAGAAATGCTGAAGCAAGTGTGGTTTACATAAAACTCTTAGACACATTTTGGTCTATAATTCGGTGTGTCTCTAATATGATATTTGCCAATTAATTGTGGGCTGTGGCGTGATCAGAGCCGCGCACACGTGCGAATATATCTATCAATGGAAATTGGAATGTACAAATGTGTATGGTGTGTGCGAAGCAAATTTAGAAGTGTAGCCGCTGTAATCTATAAAAAATATTATAAGCTATGATTCCGTTTTATTACAGGATCTGGCATCTGCCGTAAATATCACTGATTTTATCTGTGACACACACTATAAACTATGCAATGTTACCTGTTTCTCTAATAAACTGCTCTAACAAGTACACGGCTAGGGACTGCGAGTACTCCTCTAACGGAATTAAATAATTAAAGTAGAAAGTGATCGATGGAGCGGTTTTTTAGAAGTACAGGAGAGTAAACAGCATAAAATGTAAACAAATGAAAACATATAATGCTCTTAGTAGTAAATGGCCATTTGTTCTGAGCTGTATGGTTTTTTGACAATCAACTAGCGGGGCAAGGAATGTACTGGCTGGTAGCTTTTGTACACACCAGAACGCTAGTCTGGTTGATAGGAAGGCATTATAATTTGTGGGTGTAAGAGGGAATATTTGGCATGTACTATTCTAGCAGCTATTAGAATTAGAATTAGAATTAGAATCAAATTTACACAGCAATACAATAAGAATAAAAAATAATTTAAGAAGCTTCAATCTGCTGTGCAGGACATTCAAGTCAGTCGAAAACTGTTAGCAGAACACCCTTCTAGGGACATAAGCTATTTTGTAACAAATGGTCTTTACAATTATTAAGGACGGTAAGTATTTTGGGTGTTAAATCATGGCTAAATGTCTTAAGTGGGGGCCGGGGGTTTAAATTTAGGGGAGAAAAAAATGAATGTTGGGTTATAATATTAATCATAGAACATTTTTTTTTTTGAACATTTAAAATATAATTTGGAACATTACAGTAACGTTATTCAAATCTCAAACAAAAAAAGTATATTTCAAAGCTTTGTGTTTTGATCATATGATTATGGGTGTATAGTGATTTTGATTGCATAAATTTGATTGGGCAGTGATGGTGAGTGAGAAGATGATGGGAGTGCCAGCCAGTAACTCTGTCAAATGAACAGCCCACTGAGGAGTGGGTGAGCGCAGGCGCGAGAACGGCAGAGAGGGTGGCATAAAACGGAATACACGGCCACAGAAAAGACACAGAAACTAAACCGTGCGCGGTAAGTTAGCCAGTGTCTGAGAGCTAGTGTTCCCCGGCAGGAGGCATCCAAAAGAGGTGCCGTGGTGAACTGTCGAGGCTAAGTTCGAATGCAAGGCGAAGCAACTCAAACTGATGATGAAGAGGTAGACTGAACGGGAAGTGAAGAAAAAGGAAAAGGAAGGATCCAGCTGAGGTCTGGCTCATGTCAGGAAGTGATGAAAAGCTCACAGACAAAATCATCCGTGGCTGTCTACCCCGTACGTAGGCAGTGTCCGAGATTTCAGGCATCAGGATACACTGAAACAGTGCAGAGCTGATTACGACCAGGGTCCTCGCGGATACCCCGCCTCGGAGGTCGAGCCAATGCCCTGCTTTCGATACTTATGTCTACTGGTGGAACCTTCATATTTTCTCTACTAGCAGTCACTGTAACCCTATCACTCGGAAGGCCCCACAGCTCCTACATGGACGCACGGCCGGGAGCCCATGTAGGGATAAAAGTGAACGCAAGCCTTCCATCACATCCGTCACAGATTCAAAGCTGGGAGGAAAAATGGGAGCTGGAGGAGAGGAAAAAAGAAAAAAGAATACAAAAAAAGAAAACAAAAATGGAAAGGTCTAATGTGTCAATCAGCTCTATTCTTACCGAAATAAAAACCGAGATTAAAGAGCTAAAACTCACGATAACTGAGATGACCCCTGCAACCAAATCAACCGGGAGCTGCCAGGTAGCAACAAAATGCTCAAGTGGCGCAGATCTACTGAAAAATCTGTCAAAAGCTACCCAAGACACCAGCATGCTCCTGGAGAAATCTGAAATAGGTCTGAAAGGGCTCACACAAACCCTCAAAGATACTATGTCTGTAAAGAAAGATCTGGAAGTTTGGAGTCAGAGTGTCTTCAAAAGGGAAGAAAATGAAAAAATCAATGAAATCCATGAAATCATCTCTGCCTCAAATTTCAGAAACAACCAGGCAGACCCAGCTCCAAATGTTAGCCAAAGCTATGTGAGACATATCCCCAGGTCACCAGCTGACACACGGACTAACAGTGACATCCCCGGGCTGTCACCTAATCAGGGACGGTCTTCCTACAGGAGAGAAGACCTAGAACCCAGACAAAAAGGCAAGATAATCACAAAAGAAAGTGCAACAACTCCTCGCAGCACAGGGAGATCCAAAAGAGCGAGTAACCCAGTACAGCGCCAACAGAAAATTGTTCTCCTCTGTGACTCGACCATGCGAAGCTTTAAACCTGACGAGTTTCCAAAGAGGTACAATGTCTCTGTAATATACAGGCCAAGTTTGAAAGAACTTGACTCGTGCCTCGAACGAACAGTAGAAGAGATTTCAAACCTCAATCCAGATGCAGTGTACATTCACCTTGGTACTCGGGACATCCTGGAAGGCAACAAGGCTGATATTGTGGTGGGATCATTAATCAAGTCTACTGAAAAGATCCTTAGACAGACCTCACAACACTGCCAAATATTCATCTCTCACCCCTTTCTGCGCGACCATCCTGGAGAGGAATGGGGTAAAAATAGTCGACTCATCACAGAGGCAATCAGAAATCTTAAAGATGACAGTGAAAAGGCTGATTTCTGGATGAGATCAAGAGAAAACAGAAACAACAATTTCTACCCGGGGGGATCGGATATCCCACACGACTATCTGTTTGTCCCAGATCAACCTCATCTAAATGACAGAGGTATCAGAGTAATCATGGGAAACTTCAAGACAAGTCTCAATAGTACATTTAGCAGGGACCGTACTTGAATTCTAGTCTCTCATTCTCAGCTCCTCCAAGTCTTCCGAGTTCTCTTCTTCTTTCCTCCTCTCCTCTTGCCTCTCTCATCTTCTATACCTGACTGATGAACATCGTCAACGGTATAATTTCCTGGAATGTTGCAAACATTCATGGCTTGCTCGGAAACAAAGTTGAGGATCCCGAATTTGTCAAAATCATCAGTCCAAATGATATAATCTGCCTCCAAGAAACCGGATGCGAAGTTTCCCTGAAAGGATACAAATCCTATAGTGACATCCGCAAATCAGGTAAAGGAGGAGGAGTAACCACTTTGGTTAGGAACACAATTGTGGAATATTGCTCTCTGGATAAATGCACACTC